GGCTGAGAAGCAGAAGCAAAAACACCCAACAGCAAAAGCACAACTCAAGGAGGTTGGAACCATGGGAAATCGTGGGATTTGGGATATCAGAGGCTCTGGGATTTGAGCAGGCACAGGAACACACAATTTGTCCCTCTGTCAGAGCCAACGAGCGACTCCTGCTTCGTGATTTATGTTAAATAGGAAAAGAAATAAACAGAAGGAGGAGCAGAGGGTGGGGAAGGGAAGGGAAGGGAAGGGAAGGGAAGGACCTCGGGATGCAGCTGCCACAGCCGAGCACGGGGCAGCTCCTTTGGATCCCTAAGGAGCCCAAAGTGGGCAGAGAGCTCCTCTGGAAGATCCAGGGTTTGCAGTAAAGCTGGGAAGCTGCTGGTGGAAATTTGGATATGCACACGTGCAAAAATCCAAGGAAACGGAAAATTCTGTGATTTCCATCTTTTTTCCTTGTTCAACATCCAAAGGCAGGGCAGGATACTTTCAATTAAATGGTTTTTGGGAGTCAGGAACACGGAAATGGTTGGATGCAGAGCCTGGATCACCCAAAATGAGCTGGGGCATCCAACTGCTCTCCGTGCTCCTGCGATGCTGCAGGATCTCTGCAAGGACCTCCACACCAGTCACAGCTGGGAAAGATTCCTGCCAGTCCAGGTTTGGGGAGGGACAACATCACACCCTGAGAAACTCCAGGAAATACTCCAGGAATTACTCTAGGAATTACAGCCTTTATCTTGGTTGGCCACTGGGTTTAACTGCAGGCACTCAATAACCACAGAACCACCTGATCCCAGCTGTCCCACCAGGCTGGAAGTGGAGACTGGCATCAAAATCACAGAATCCGGGAATGGTTGGAGTGGGAAGAGACTTCCCTTAAATCCCATCCATTCCCACCCTGCCATGGGCAGGACCCCTTCTACTATCCCAGGTGGATCCAAGCCCCAGTGTCCAGCCTGGCCTTGGACACTGCCAAGGATCCAGGGGCAGCCACAGCAAATCTGGGAAATCCACTCCAGGGCCTCACCGCCCTCACAGGGAAGAATTCCTTCCGAACATTCCATGCAAATTTTCCCCAAAGCCAAAAGGTACACAAGGAACATAAAGTAGCTTTCATTTTTTGGTCCTGTTCGTGTCTCCCAAGGCTCTCTCCTGGTCCCCGTGCCCAGGATCCGAGACTTTCCCAGTTCCTTGATGGAAAGCAGAGCCGTGGCCCGGCCGCGATCGGAGCGCGCGGCTCCAAACTGGAACGAACGAGACCAAAAAAAAAGGAAAAAAAAAAATATGGACATATTTCATCCTCCTCTTTTGTGGGTTTTATTTTCTTTTGTATTCGCTTTGGGAATAACATTCTTTCCATTGGGAAGAGCCTGATTTTCCATTAAATACAAAGCAGCTGCCATCTTGGAAACAAAAAGCTGATTAAATACAGATTCTTTTTTTATTTTTTCCCTCGCTTATGAAGAGCAAGAACCACGTTTGTTTCTGCTGATTTATCGGGGCAAAGCTGCCAATTACGGCAGCAGGAAAACTTAAAGAGAGGGACTTGAATCGCTCCATCTTCCCGAAATAATTCCGTAATTACAATTCGATGTCGGAGAAAAAAAGGAAAGATCCAGAAGTTTGGAGCGCTCGTCCTCCCTCTGGGACAGCGACCCCGGGGGTTCCTCACCCTCTGCACACACAGGGATGCTCCAGATCCCCCATTTACGCAGATCCCGGCCCGCTGGGATGCCGGGGGAAGGCTCGGCACATCGGGGTGACGCGCAGGGCCTGGAGGAGACGCAGCCGCTGCCCCACTGCGGCCCAGATGTTGAACAGACTGGAAAAAAGGATGAGCTCCAAGGAAAAATCCCAACCCACCCACTCCATTGCTACTCCATGAGCCAGCAAAGCTCAGTCCAAGAGGTTTTTCCAAGCAGACCTGAGTGACCAGCAGAAGCGGCGCCCGAACCTTCAGCTCATTTTGTCTTTTCCCAAAATCTGAATCATAGATTAAATTTCCATTTCGAAATTGAGATGCTATAGCTAAAAACCAGGGAGAAGATGGATGAAACAGAGAGACGGGAAAAGCTGTAGGAATTAGCGACTGGTTTTCAATTAACCCATCAGGTTCTCCTGATTTCTTGCCCTTCACGAAACCCAACAAAAAACTCCAGAGGATGACAAGAATTCCACAGGGATCTGCACTCTGAGAAGTTTTTCCAGCTCCAGCCATTCCATCTACCCAAAGCTGTAAGATCCAGGGAAGACATTTCTGGAAAGGGACCCTGAAATCATCTTCAGCCACGCTGGTGGCATCAGCCATGGCTGGTGGCTCCAAGCGACCATCCCGAGCACCCAACTTCTCTGTGCACCCTCAACTCACGTGTCCCCTGCACAGGGACCCCCCAAAGGTTTGGGCTCCTCCAGGGCAGCCCGTGGAGAGCTTTGGAAGCTGTTCATGGATGTCCCTTTCCACATTCCCAGCTTAAGAGCCCTTGGAAGAGCACTGGATGAAACAAGAGGAAAGCAGGAAATTGCAAATCCTATGACTTCCCCTAAATTTCCTAAAGGGTAGAAGAATCCCTACCCAAACTTTATCTCTTGGTAGGATTTTTGGAAGGTCCAGGCTGAGGCTCTGAAGCAGGAAGGAGAAGGTGGATTCCACACACCAGGGTTGGAATTTTGGCTGCCAGATTCCCTGTGCCACACATTCCTTATGGATGCAAGTGCAGGCAAGAGAAAGCACCCAACAGCTTCGTCCGTCCTGGTTTGGAAAACAAAATTCCAAGCCAACCATGCCGAGGTGACTCCACAGAGGGAACGATACCTATGGAAGCACGTCCTGGTTTAAAGGATTTATGGCATTGGGCATTTTGGCTTCCATTAATTTTCCAACTGCTGAAAGCAGACAAGGAAACCTTGGAATTCCAGATAACCTGGCTTAGCCAGACTCAAGTTTACAGAGCTCCTGGGTTAATCAGGGGTCAGCCTGCTCCATCCAGCACTACTAAATCCATGGGATTTGGACACTCTGCTCCTTGCTTTAAAGTGTCACAAGCTCCTGTTTCGAGCCCTCCATCCTGACAAATATTTGGGATTCTCGAGGCACTTGGGAAACCAGGAATGGGCTGCTCCAGCCACCAGTCCATCCTCTCCCCTTCAAGGCATCCCTGCTTTACAGGAATTTTGTTGAACATTCATTCAGGCCACGCAATCCCCTAAAAGATTTGGATCACCTCTGGAGTGGAGAGCCCCAGACACGGAAGATTCTGGATGCTGCTCATGCATGTCCATGTCCTCGTCCCGCTTTTTTTACCTTTTAAACTTCCAGGATTAGCCACAACAACTTCCCACAGGACAAATCAAACTCTGCTAAAATTCCTCCTTTGTCCTGCTACTTTGTGTGATCCCATTTTTATTTTTCCCCTTCTTCTGTGATTTACTCCTGCCAATTAATCCCAACTAGGCAGAGAACAGAAAATTAGGAGGGATAAAAGGAAGGAAAACTGGGATTTGTTGCTGTTAAGAACAAGCCTGACTAAGAGCAGGCTGGCAAAGCCCCTCCATATAAAGGGATTACTCCATCCCTGACCCTTTCCAGGGGAGCTCCAGGTATTATTTTCCATTGATTTACCTTAATGAAAGTAATGCCCCCCTCTCTGTAGGAAGCTGACTCCAGAGCTGTCTAGGCACTGGATCCAATTAAAGAAATAAATACATCTGGCTTCTAAACAGCTCCAAGCCTGGAAAAGCCAGAGGGAAAAGGGCTTTTTTGCATCTCTCCCTGTTGGGCTGCGCCCCGAGGACAGCACGGAGGATGCCTGACATCCAACACCGCTCCTGGAAACCCCTGGCTGCAAGGAATGCCTGGAGCATCCCGGCTGCTCCCGGCTTTGATGGGAGCCAGCCTGGGATTGCTTTAACCAGGATCCCTCTCTCCAGGAGCTGGTGTTGATTTGAGGCCTCGGTGTTGACTTAGAAACCACCCCCAGGTGCCTGGAGCCTGCAAATAGTCCAGGCTTAGCCAGGCTGAATTTCCAGGGAAAGGGGAACAAGCATCCCACTGGAGCAGGGAATATCAGTCAGGATTCCCATGAAGAGCAGGGCACAAAGGCTGGAAAGCAGAAGCAGGATCCAGGCTCTGAATGTGACAATCCCACAGAATTCCCAGGTGGGTTTTGCCCCCACGGGCCTGGGTTTGCAGCCGTGGGAACAGAGGAAACAAGGTGGCTGCCGAGCACTTTGTTTGCCGTCCATCCCGGGAAATGCTGCGGGTTTTCCTCCCGCACATGGAACAAGCAGAGATGACAACAATCACAGGGGGTTGCTGAACCAGAAGCAAGGTCTGAAAAGTCTCCTTGGCTTTACTTTGGTGCTAAATTGGCCAAATCCAAACTGGGAGATGGCACGCGTCAAGAAGCCACATTATGTTTTGGAGAAAACCATGGAATCCCAGAGTGGTTTGGGATGGAAGGGACCTTAAAGATGATCCAGTTCCACCCCCTGCCATGGCAGGGACACCTTCCACCATCCCAGGTTGCTTCAAGCCCCATCCAGCCTGGCTTTGGACATTTCCACTCCAGTCTGAGGGAAGGCTTAGTGGTCCAATCCCTCAAAGCAGGAGGAATTTCCAGCTGGAATCCCCATGGGGAATTTCTCCAAACAAGGAGCATGGATTTTACAAACATCTTTTCTCTTTGGAGCAGAGTGTGAGAATCTCATCCAGGTTTCCCTAATATCAGGCATTCCCTCTAATTCCCTGCAGATTTAGGTATTCCAGGATGATAAAAGGAGCCATTTCAATGCACTCAAACCATCAATTCAGTGACCCATTGGGAAGGAAACCCTTTCCTTCGGTCTCTGATTTATCCCAGAACTATTTTCCCCATCGATCTCAACTTCCAACCCATGTTTTCCTTTCCTCCTGGCTGACACACAGGACCTTTTCTGGTTCAGCTGCCCCCCGAGGCTGGAGGTGTGAGTGGAGCAGAGCCAAGGCGCGGCACGCAGCGTCCGGTACTCACCGACATGGTAGAGTGGACATCTACCTGCCCCTACAGAGGACAACACAGGAGGTCAGGGTCAGAGGCACAACAGAGCACAGCAACAGGACAAAGGCAGAAAGGAGCCCAAAGGTCAGCAGAGGTGCCCACAACCCCCCAGTGCTCCAACGGCGGCTCCGACATCAGCAAAGGATTGGGAAAGCAAAGTGGGGGCTCCTGGGAGCTGCTAGGAGGAGAATAAAGCACCACAAGAGCAGTTTTGTTGTCATTCTGTCACAGATTCCTGGGATGGGTTGGGTTGGAAGGGATCTTAAAGAGCATCCTGATTCAAACATCTCCCACTGTCCCAGGTGGATCCAAGCCCCAGTGTCCAGCCCGGCCTTGGGCACTGCCAGGCATCCAGGGACAGCAAATCTGGGAATTCCAGCCCCTGCCCACCCTCCCAGCCAGGAATTCCTTGCCAAGATCCCAGCCCAATCTCCCCTTTGCCAGTGGGAGCCTGTGTTCTTGTCCCCAGTCCCTCTGCAGCTCTCCTGCCTGCTCTGCACAGCGCCATCCCTGCTCCTCAGCAATCCCACCTGCAGGAGGGGATGGATGTCAGACCCTGGGAGTGACAGCTGGGATCAGCTCCAGCAGCACTTGCTCAGCTCTTCCAAGGGCCAGGGGAGTTATTTAAGCACAGACTGGGCTTGTGCAAACCCAGAGGTGACTCTGGTGCTCCTGAGATGTTTTCCTGATGGTTATTTTCCACTTGGGTCCCTCCCAACGCGGCCGAGGCTGTGGTTGGTGCAAAGTTCATGGCATTTCGCTTCCATGCACAGGGCCTTGGCTTATAAATATTCCAGAGGGATTTGACTTTTCAAATAAAAACACAGGCAATCGTTCTCTTTGGAAAGAAAATAAACACTTGCAAAGCTCTTTCTACCAGAGCAAGAGCTGCCGGGGCTTTTCGTTTGCGAGGGGGAAGAGATGCCAAGAGAAGGCAAAAAACCATCACGGCTCCAGCTGAAATCTGTGCCTGCCATCTGGCAAAAATAAGCAGAAAAGGGAAAGAAAAAAAAAAAATAGGGGGGAAAAAAAAGCCCTTTGCAGAGGGTTCACACTGAAGTGCTCAACGGCAGAGGTTGGATTTGTTGGATCGCTGAAAGATTGCTTCCCCTTCCCAGGTCAGCCTCACCTCTTGACCTGCCCTGATTCCCTTCCAAAGGAGGTTATCGAGATACAAGACTAACAGAGGATTAAAGGAAACTGAAAATAAAAACAAAACACCCCCCCCCTTCCCCCAGCCCTGCTCCCCTCCCCCAAGAAAACATCCTTGCTTTGTTAACCTGACAGTTCAGGGGAGGTGTTGACACAACCCTCCATCTCTGAGGAGCTTAATGTCAACAAATCAGTGTGTTTGGAGTAGCCCTGTCAATGCCATTTACATTAACTTGTCCAACAAGAAATAAAAACAACAATCAGCCATCAAAGACAAAAGGCTTTTTCAGTCATTCTTTGCAAAGTCTTAGGCTGGAAATGTTCATTTTTGGAGGCCGTGGCGCTTTGCTTGCTGAAAACCAGAAACCACCTTTTTGGGGTTTTTTTTTTTTCTTTTAAGGCCTAAAATACTTTTTGTACTAAAATATATTTTTTTTACCCTTAAAAAAAGAGGTTTTTCTTTTACAGGAGACCCGAGCATCCCATATTAATGAGCTCCACAGCAGCAGCAGGAACCGACTCTCCCTGGTTAACGCAGGAAGAGGGCGGCCTCGGGAGCCAAATGTTAATTATGCTTTGATTCCCATCAGCTTTATTTGCTCGGAGACATTTTTGGGCACTTAGTGGAGCATTCTGGAATCGTGGCTCCAAACCACCATGACCGTTTCATGCAGCACTGGCATGCACCAAAACCCCGGGAAGTTCTCCGTGAACTTTTCCTGCCCCCCGGCACACGCCGTCCCCACGGCACTGGTGAGGGCTCAGCGTCCCCCCAGAAAACTGCAACGTGCAAATAAATTCCAGGAATTCCCAAAATCAAGTGGTTTTCATCATCTCCCACAATGCCTACTCCAAAGGAAAAAAAAAAAAAAAATTGGGATTGCAAGGCCGAGAAAAAGTGGAGGCTTTTTAGGCTGCAGCACCGGCCAGCATTTTGGGATTATTTTGGGGTTTTTTTGCCAGGTGACCACAGAGGTGGTGGAGGCCTCATCTTTGGAAAAATCCAAGGTCATGGCCCTGGACAGCTTGATCCAGTTGAAGATGTCCCCCAGAAAACTGCAATGTACAGATAAAACCCAGCAATTCCCAGTATCCCAGTTTCCATAATCTCCCACAGTGCCTACTCCAAAAAAAAAATTAGGGACTCAAATTCCTGCTTGAGCTGCAGAGAAAATGGAGACTCTTTAGGTTATGAGCCAGGATTTTGGGCTGGGTCAGTTTTGCTGCTGCTTGAAGTAGGTGCCCACAGAGGTGGTGGAGACCTCACCCCTGGAAAAATCCAAGGCCATGGCTCTGGACAACTTGATCCAGTTGAAGATGTCCCCCAGAGAAGTACAATACGCAAACAAATCCCAGGAATTCCCAAAATCAAGCGGTTTCCATCATCTACCACAATGCCTAGACCAAAAGAAGAATTAAGGACTCAAATTCCTGCTCGAGGCTTAGAAAAAGAGACTAAAAATGAGACTTTAGGCCAATCCACCATCCAGGATTTTGGGCTGGGTTATTTTTGCTAGGTGCCCAGAGAAATGGAGGAAGAAGCCTCATCCCTGGAAAGCTCCAAGGCCATGGCTCTGGAGAACCTGATGCAGTTGAAGGTGTCCCTGCTCACCACAGGGGCTCGGAGCAGGTGACCTTCAGGGGCCCTCCCAACCCAAACTGCTCAGTAATCCTGGGATTCCCAAGAATCACAGGAAAAATTCAGCCTAAAGAGGGAAACATAAACCCTAATATTGAATCCCAGCTCAGATTCCTTTCAGCTGCTCTCCAAAGCTCAGTCCCAAGGACCTTCCAAGGCCTTGAGCTGCCCTGGAGCCGTGACCCCACAGAGGTTTTCCTGCAGCTCCGTCGGGACAATGGGATTACTCAGCCCCGTCACGGTGCATTTCTGCAGCCTCAGGACTTTGGGTTCCGTTTTTTTTTCCCTGGTGGGGCATTTTGGAGGTGGAATTTTAGCCCAGGAACTCCGACATGCCCGGGCTGAGATTCCCTGATGGGCAGCTGGAGGTGTCATTCCAGCTGGGACAAAAGGCAGGGGAGCAGCAAAACTGCACCTTCCAACACCAGGGGAACGCTTTCCACTTGGCCAAAATCCCATAAATTGAACAGGAATCGGCTCTGGAAGGTGAGGGCATTTCCAAACCAGGCAGGAGAACAGGAATGGGAGGTGTTGCACACAGGGGCTTCAAGGACACCTCACCCCAGGATGGGGAACAGCCCTGCAGCCACTGGCAGTGTGGAAATCCTGGATTTTTTGGGACCAGGCTGAAAACTCATCTCAAACAGGGCAGCAGCTCCTCTCAGACCCCAAAACTCATGCTTTACTTCCAATCACAGCTCTCGTGCTGATGGATTGGGAAGGGTTTGGATCAGCTCCATCTTGTCCCCAGAACCCTGAATTTCCTCCTAGGGCTGGAATTCACCCTTTTGGGAATGTTCCTTCAGCCCTCTCCCTCTTTCTTTCCCTAGCTGATGCTCATGCCACATTTTTGGTGCTTGAACAAACACCTCCATCATTTTTTTCGTGGCTTTGGAAACACCTTTGTCTCCTGCATTTCAGTAGCAAAGCCCAGGAACTTCAGTGTGCTCCTAAACCAGCCACTGGAAAAATTCCCTGAACCCTACAAGAATGAAAAACCTTGACACCAAAGCCCTTTGGGATGCAGCCTGGTCCTTCCTGCCTTGCTCTCACCCACAATTTGGGTGATCCAACAGCAACATAAGGAAAATAACTCGAACCAATATTAAAAAATCCCAAACCTGCGGCTCCCACAAAGCTTTGACCCAGACCTGAGGCTGCCCAAACCAGGCTGAGGTGCCTGCCCTGTCTCCCCAGGCTTTGGGGAGGCTCTGGAGCTCAGGGGCTGCCCAGCAAACCCAAACCTCTCCACAGCTGAGGCTTTTCTAACCCACTTCTGGAGGACAAAAGGCTGCCTCCGTCTGTCCTGGTGCTTTTTAGACCAATTCAAGTCCTGCCAGCCTCCAAACCAACCCTGAGTGGCTCCAAAAGGAAACATTAATATTTAAGGAAGATAAATCACTCCTGGCCCACCTCATAAATCACCGTGGGCTTCCCCCCCCCCCCCCCCCCCCCCCCCT